GGCGGAGCAGCGCTGAGCCTCAGCTGTCTCCCTCGGGCACCCAGCTCGGCAGCCTGGCATCTCTACGGCAGCCTCAGACCCCGCTCTTGGGCTTCTTTAAAGCCCGTCCTGCCGCCTTTGGCTCTGTCGTTGTTATTTCGTGGCTTCCCAAAGCAGTGACTAATCGTTTGATTTTTCAGGGTTGTTTGAATATTTGCAAAAACTGCGAGTGTCCTGGCAAGTGCAGAGTGTAAATCTGTACGTATTTTTACACCGTTGTTTAAACAGGAAGAGCTTGTTGTGCTCTGTTGGATCCCTAAAACTATTCCTTATTTACATAGAAAAGCCCTTTAATTTACATCTAGACCTGATGTGATGCAGCTGTGACTGTTGGCTTTTACATCCAGCTGTACCACTGTTTGGCAATGAACGCTTTTAATTGTTGAAACAAAGAGTTTGACGGGATCTGTTTGACTTTGGTCGTGTGTATACTGTACTGGTATATTGACAGCATTTTTCTATCTAATTTTAAAGTGTCCTGGATTGTGAAGATAAATATAGAAATGCTGCTGAGATGTCCAGGTCATTGCTTTTTCATGGGATGCATGTATTATTTACATGTTTATTTAATCATATTAATTTAGCCTTGATAAGCCAAAGGTTCAGTGAAACCAGGTGAGGATGTCAGAATGTATTTTGAATCTGGAATTACACAATGGTCTTTTTAGAAGTACCGAGTGATATAGTGGATTTATAATATATTAAATTAATTCTTTTAACTGCTTCTCACTCATTTGTAATTCAGCCCTATTTTGTAAGGTGATAGTATTTTGAACCCAATTTACTGAACACCTTGGAGTGGGTGGGGTAGAGCAGGTAAAGAAGGGAGAGTCTCAGAATTGTAGCAGACCTTATCACCAAAATTTTAGGTGTAAATTTTGGTCATGCTTCTTGCTGAACAAAAGGCACTGATTTGAAAGGAATTAACTCTTCTCCCACCCTAAACATGACCTAAACATAATGATGGAAATCATGAAGGAAACTTTCAGCATCACTTTTTGCATTGTGACAAACCAAAGAAAAGTCCATATATAAGTTAGAAAACCAAAACCAGTAGTTTCAGAAATACCATATCTGCTACAGCACTGGAGAAAACCTGCCTGTTATATGAATTTTAAAAAATGATCAGTTAAAGAAAACTGATTTTATTTTTGAGGGAGAGAAGGTAGTACAGCAATAGTTCTTAAGCGACACTATTTCTTGTTTTTTCTCATTCAGCTGAAATGATCTGAAAGCTCCTAGACTCAGTCCCTGTGAAACTCACAGGAACTGAACATAATTTTTGCCATTTTGAACAACTCAGCCACCAGATATTTTTAACAGAAACTTTCTCAGTAGCCTCAAACCTGAATAACTGTCCTTTGCAAAGCAGCGCAGCATGCTCTGCAGTGTAGTTGCTGATGTGAGCAGAGAAGGTCTTCCTCTGGATGCTGCTGGCTGGTTCTAGGGGAACGCTGCTGGTACACGGAAGGTGTGTTGATAACCATGCACGTACTCAGGACTGTAAAAGGATGCGCCTAAAGGAGATCTTGGGCAAAAATCCTGAAATAAAACTGA